AGCATCTTTATCAAATTTTTGTGTTTTATGTTATTTATGTTATAAATTGTATCTCATGTATGTTTTCATTTTTTTTAATTTGCAACAATTATTAAATTTTCGATAATTATAAATTTTATTTTTATATTAATTTTTTTTTTTCTAAGAACCATATGTTAAGAGCCTACCATTAATCACACAAAAATCTTAACTCAAAAATACTATCTCTTAACAATCACTTTTACAATTAAATTACTTAAATATTGCTAAGATTTATTTCTAAGAGCCTACCTATAATCATGCTCTTAACATTCTTAAAAATTTAATTATTATGTGTTCTTCTCATAAATACTTCACTATAGTACATTTTTAGGCCATACACAATGACACATTTTTTGGGAGGATGTGAGTAATAAAATAAACAAAAATAAGGGAATAGTAATCTTGGAGTCGGAAGTCGGATGTGAGCTTACACTCGGGGTGTGAAGCCACGTGTTATAGTGTGGTTGGTTCCGAATTTTTCTTCTCTATCTCTCTCTCTTTTCTCTCTTTCTTTAATTATAATAATAAAAAATTATTAACAACTACCCTCACAAATATACCACTGTCTATGCTTTTATACACAGCTCCTACATGTTTTTTTTTTTTGTTCAGTTCCTATATATTTTCTTTTTGCAAACTTTCACCCATATATAAACTCGTTTCAACAATTAATCAATTATATATTTTCCAATATTTCTTTTCATTTTGCTTCACTATTCCTATTTGTTTTTTGTTTACAAATCTATATATAATAGCAATCTAATAAATACCATTTGCACATCTGAACGGTTGCGTCTTTTTATCCTAACTTTTCGTTAATATTTTTATTAATTAAAATATATATATTACGGTTATGTTTTTTTTTTTATAAATTGCATTCGGAATGTTTTCTACGGTTGCGTTTTTTATTGTAACTCTTCATAAACAGTTGAAACCGCTTATTCGAATGATTGCAATATTTAGTTTATTTTACGAACAATTGCAACCTTTGGTTTATATATTTAGTTTATTTCAAGAACAAATGCAATTATTGGTTTAATTTATAAATAGCTATAACATTTAATTATCTACCGCCGCGTCTCTCGGTATAGCTTTTCATAAATTATTATTTTAATTCTTAATTTTTAATTACTAAAATGTATTTAAATGAGATTGTAACTATTTAATTGAACTGTTTCAACATTTGGATTATTTGACGAATTATTACAACTTTTGGTTTTGTGGTACGAACCATTGTTATCTTTAGTATATTTGATGAACTATTGCGACATTTGGTATAATTGACGAACCGTTGCAGTTTTTGGAATATTTGATATTTACGGTTGCGTTTCTCGGATAAGTTCGTCATATTTTTAAAAAATATTTAAATACTAAAATATATTTAAATGAATTGTTGTTGCCGTTTAATTTAACACAATAACATTTGGTTTATTTGACGTTGAACGTTTAGGCTTATTTATCAAACCATTGTAATATTTAGTTTATAAGTTTATGCTTTTTGCACTTTGGAATAGTTTTTTAGTTACAATTTATTGTTTTTCTAATATTAATATACTAAATAAATGCTTGTGAGGGTTTTCTTTATCATAATTTTTGTAGAATATATATATTGATTTTTTATTAAAAAAATTCAAAATTATTACAATTCATTATGATTTTTTCGTTTGATATTTTCTTAAATAATTTTTGAAATATATTCCCCAGCGACATCGCGGGGTCCTGAGTCCTAGTTACAAATAAAACGGGTCCAGCAATAAATGAGAAAGGCCCCATTAAAACATAACAGTACGTTCAAGAAAATTGTACAGTTTCGAACAATAAATTCAGTCGGCAAAACAAAAAAAAAAATTTACATCATTATCAAATGATTTTTGTATTTGAACGATTACTTTTTTACTTTTACCGCTATAAAACGACACAAGACACTGTCGTTGTTTTTCTACTGTACAAACGCATCATAAAACCATCATTCGCCATTAAATTTTTCACTTGGCTTCTTCAATTGCGTGCCGACAAATAAATCCGAGTTAAAAATCATTTAATGCTCGGAAACTCTCACCAGCAAATTACCACAGTACTTATTACATAATTATTGGTATAAGTTTCCCATATTTTTGCGGGAAAGTCTCTTCTCCGAAATAAAAAGTTTTTGCACGAGTATAATATTCACATCAAGCTAATTTTTAAAATGAAAATAAGTAAGGAATATTTCAAAAAAAAAATATTAAAATGGGGAAATGAAATACTAGTAGGAAAGAGATAAAAGAAAGATTTGGAAGGGGATATAGAGAATCCAAGAATTGAGAGCAACTTGACATCGTGACAAAGAAGATGGCGAAATCTCCGTTTTGCAGTGCAGTGCTGACCAAAAGTCCTTTTTGAAAAAATGTTTTTACAAAATTCAATAATAAATTTACAAAAAAAAAAAGAATCAAAGGAAATGTCACTTTCTTCACAGTGTTGACAGCCATAAATAATATCTACCCCATTCCAATGCCCCAAATATTCTGCAGTTATTAGTCGTTTTCGTTGCCCCTTGCACTTTGTACTTACATTTCTTACGTTTTTTTCAAAATACTACACATTTTTTTATTTAGTAGAGTTAATTGGTATAATTGTGTAGTAATTTAAACAAAATACTACAATGGTTGCATCAAGATAAAAAAACAAAGATCGAAGACAATCACCAACAGAGAAGAAAAAAAACACATTACAATTGGGTAACACACATCTCATCGATGAACACTTTCTTTAACTAAAAGGGATAGCACAAAGCTACATATGATTGTCTTCGATCATCTTTTGTTATATTATTAACAATTAAGGAAGCTCCTCTCTTAGCACTTCTTTCTTCTTTGAGTAATCTCCAACAAGGTTAATCAATGAAGATTTTTTTTTTTTTTTGTCATCGATTTTTTGCATCAAATATAACATATTCTAACTTTTGGTTAATACTTAATGATGAAACATTCAAACTACAAATAAAAAAGTAGTTTTAACCATACTAGTATGTCAGGAAAAAAAACTGCAAAGAATTTGTATTCTCAAAGACTTGTGAGATTTGCTTTTCCTGATTCACAAGCAATCTTCTTTTTTTCTTTCTAATATATTTCTCGAATTCCAAACCTTACTAAGGTCAAATGCGCCGGTCTTCTTTGTTATAAAGAAAACAGTGCAAACTTTCTCTCAAAAATTTGTGTGATATTGGGTCCTACTACAACGTAAACTGATGGAACAATGATTCCGACAAATTTAGGGGATTTTTAGTTTTAATTATTCTTTGTGAATAATAGTTTTAACTCTTACTATCACTGTCTGCGTATGTTTATTATGTAAGCATGGGATTATTCAATTATAATTTATAAGTACTGTTATTTATTACTATACGATGTCTTGACAGCATTTTTCTTTGCTGTTAAAATTTTTTTGATGGTGTTTTTCTTAATTTTTCAGCAATAATGAAAATTCTTAACTCTTATATAGAGATTTGTCCCAAAAAAAAACCTCTTATATAGAGATAAAAACAAAACGGTTTATGTTCTTTTTCTTAAAAACAAAAGCAAACCAATAGATTGTAAATCAACATGTTTTATACTGTACTTGTAATTTACTACACCAACTTATATAAGGATAATTTTAAAAATTCACCACTTTTAGCTTTGTTTTTCAGAAATCCCATGACCTATTAGAAAAGAGGTTTTAATTTGTTTTCTTCAGCTTTTCATAAGAGATTGTAAGCAATTGTAATGAAGATTCTAAAACTCTTCAAAACACTTTTTTGGTATCTTTAAGTAATTTTGGAAAGCTGTGGTAGTTTTTCAAATATAATATATAAAGATAGTATTTTAAAGTTATTAATACCATAATTAGAATAATAATGAAGAACATCCATGTTGGGGTTTTGGATCTTCGCTTTGAGAACAAGGCTGACACAGTCTCTTTAATCCATGGAGTCAACTCTTTGCCTTCTTTTCCTTTTCACCTTTTCAAGTTTTGAACTGCTCTTGTTCTTCCCGTGAATATTGTTTTGCTAAACTCGATGAATATTTTTAAATAAAGTATTACTACATACAATACACCAATTACCAATGTAAACATGTACAGTATTATACGTTTATTTACGATTGATGGTGTAGAAATTATTTAAACACACATATCTATGGACTAGCAAGTCAAACTGTAACTAATCAAAAAAAAAATCTCTAAAATAAATCCGTACAGTAGTGGACTGTATTTAACTATTCTTCAGACAAGAGATGGGTCCTATTGATAGGCTGATGGGTTAAAAACCAACGGATCCCACAAAGTGAAAAAAGAATTGGAAATTTCACTGTTTAACTTTTGGCTATCTTAAGTAGTAACTGAATGGTACTATAGTTTTTACATTTTTGACTGTTGGAACCAAATTAAAGAGATGTTGAAGGACCAGACTAAAGAAAACGATGTGTGGTTTTAGTTCTTTCTGCCTGTATATGGACGGAGTATATTATATGCATGAGGTCCACTTCGTAAGGTTTTTGGAGGTATTGAAAACGATCGACATGACACAGCTCATACCCTCGTTTTGCAATTGACGAGTGTAACTTCTCGTCGTTTTGCTTCGTCCCAAACCACGTGCATTTCTCTTTCTTGTCATTCCCCTTTTTGGTACAAATTAAATTACACACTACAAAACTAGTTTTTTGGTGTTATTATGTCTTTAACGTTTCTAATTTTCTATGCCTTTTACTATATATTTGATTTCAACAAGTGATAAAAATGATAATGGATTTGCTTTTGTTATTTTAGAATATTTAACGCCACATTATTGTTTTACCAAAATTAACTACACTATCATCATGGCTGATGTTTGATGTTTTTTTTTTTTTTTTTTTGGTTTTATTTCATTTTAGTATTTCTCTCAAACCTTTGGCTGTTTTTCTTTGTTTTGGAGTCAATCTTCATTGCTATACAACACGCATATTCTTTTGATTTGGTTAACTTAATTAAGTAATTTTCATCAATGTGATTTTATAAATTAATTTGTAACTTAAGCCCCAAGGGAAGTACACAACTTATGGGGAGGCAAAAACGTTAAATGGTGGCTAGCTGCTTTCAGTAGTTCTGAAATAAAACTTCAAAAGTTCAAGTGTACATGTAAGATGGTGTGTTCCTGAGATCATCAGGCTTTGGTTTAGGATACACACTAGATTGTGTTCTTCTGTGTTTTTGCTTTATATATCATCTGTCAAGAATAACAACACAAAAACACATTTCAGCAGAGATATTACGCAAGAGATTTTTTTATTGACACAAAGAAAATATAGCTAATTCAACACCAACCTTGATGAGGATCTTCGTGTACAAAGAAGCTGGCAGCGACTACCAAATAGCAAAGAATCAGCATCAGTCCTTTGAAGTAATTTGATGTCCCTTCCTAATTATGACAACAAACACAGAGAGACATTTAACAACTTTTATGAGAGATACACTCAAGATTGGTTTAGTAATTAGCTTCAAGATTAACCAACCTGGAGAAAGAAAGCTACAACAATAACAGTTATGAACATAGTAGCCGTCTCAAATAGCTGGAAATTTAGGTCCATTTGTACACCCATCATCCATCCGATGACCACGCAAAAAGGAACCTAAATCCAATCAAACTATCAGACCAAATCTTTTAGAGAATGTTCAGTACTAGAACCAAGTTCACACTTCATATATATACCGCGAACATAGAAATCTGAATGGAGGATCCAATAGCCACTCCCAAAGACAGATCCTGTAGAGGAGAATAAAAAATTTAGAATAATCTAAAGAAGAGAATCAAAGCATCAAAATGCAAGAGACTTGTCTTCATACCAGCTTGTCTTTCATGGCAAACATAATAGCACCTGCATGCTCGGCCGCATTTCCAACTATAGGAAGCAAGATGACACTGATAAAAGAGATTGGTATCTTCCATGAGACTGAAGCACCCTGTTAACAGACAGAAAAACAATAAAACAAAACCATAAGTCAAGACTCGTAACTTGCATTGCAGTGTTGTCCTGATCATATGGAAATGAATAAACAGAAAAACTTAATTAATAATGTAAGATTTTCATAAGAAAGTAATAGAGAAACGGGTCGTTAGTTACCTCTATGGCATCAACAAGATAGCCGGAAAGAAGAGAGACCCAAGCCGTAAAAATTGAAAGCCAGATGATAGCTTCCCACTTGGAGATCTCGGGATCTTCATCATCTTCTGACATTTCTTTGTTCTGGTTTGTTTCCGTAAAACTGGCAAGAATCATCTGTGGTTCTATGAGTGAAAACTCGAAAAAGAAAACAGTTGAATGATGAAACTGGTAAGAAACAATTCTATATATGTAGTTAACTTAAAAGACAAGTAACCTCGGTATAAAAACTTGGCTGGCTCTTTAACTGGAAAAAGAGATAAGCTGCATAGGCAAGGAGCATTATACAACTGATAAATCTTGAGAGAGCAAGCTCTGATGACCCGGCATGAACCTCGCTGTGCGTGTAATGAAGAACCGTGGGGAAAAGCAGCCCCATGACTGCCAATAAAAGCATCCCCGAACTCACAACTGCATTTCCCTGCATTGCAGAAGAAATAAGCTCAGAGACAACAAGAATTGAGCTAAACAGAAAAAAAGAATGATATGCCTACTTTGTCAAAGACTTGATCTTTCCGGGAAAACACAAGGCCGCCACAGAAAAAGGCGCACCCAAGTACAAGCAACATGTTAGACAGAATCGAGCCAAGCAGCGTCAACTGTACAACGCGTATCATCCCGTTTTTAAGAGCGATAATCGATATGATCAGCTCTATCACGTTTCCAAATGTAGCATTTAGGAGACCTCCAACTGTGAAATTTGTCTAGCGCGTCAAAAAAACATATCAAGAGAAAAGAAGAGTGTAACGGAAGAAACCAAGTCATACCAGTTGAACCTGTGTAGCAAGCCAATTGCCTATTACAAAACATAAACGGTCAGTGTTTGATAATATGGTAACTAAAGAGTCACAAGTATGAGCAACGACTTACTCTGTGGCATATCCGAGACGTTCAGCTAATGGTGTGATGCCTACTAAGCTTAGTAAGAAGAACCATCCCTGAGCCACAGCAAGAATAATTACTTGAGACTTGATTAACAAGAAAAAACAAAAATGTTACGAATAGTAACCGAAACTACTACTGCTCACCTTAGTATCTGTCAAGTAATGGACTAGTATAGCTAGAGGACCGAAAGGCAACAAAAGATTGAGTTTATTTGATAAAATCACGATCTTGAAGCTCTGGATCACACTGTTCCTAGGCGCTTTAGCTCTGCGTTCTCGAAGTGATCCTTGCTCCATCAAAGAAGCTGCTTTTGTTTGTGGGGAATCTGTTTCTTGTTCCAAAAGGCTTTTAAGCTCAACTTCATTAACCAACCCCATCTGTTTACGATAATAATATTTCGATTAAGCTGGAAATGAGGAGCCATATAATCGAAGACAAGGCGTGATCATGATCTAACTTACTTCTACGTGCGCCTGCATAAAACCTGGTACCTTACACCACCCCATAGACTTGAAGAAGTTGCTGAACATGAAATATAGTTCCATACACGAGATTTGTGATCTCATTGTCTGTGCTTTGGTGGGATAAAGAATCGCGAGATAGCGGAAAGTCTAGTCCTTGTTCACCTTAACTATTCCTTAAGAGTGTATGTATCATGTGACACATGATTACAAGCACGATAAGCATCCACACTCGTTGCTCGGGAAGAAGTTACAACAGATGGTCTTTGAATTGTTTATGGAACTCAAGTATTAAAGTATTAAAAGGTTTCCATTTCTTTAGTTTCTTTGTTCCTTAAAGGTGCAACACCCAAGCACGCTTCCATATCTTGAAGCTCAATCTTGTTTTGAGCTTAAGGTTCCCGATTCTCGACTCAATCCATCTGGAACTCATCTTAACAGCTATTGATCCAAGATACAATCTTATAAGTTATAACGTCGGAGGACCCATAGTAAGTTATTAAGACAACAACACATAGAAAAGAAGAGACATTCCAATCTTCTATCATAGTTATCAAGGTAATTTTACAAATTTGTAACCCTAAGCCCCTAAGGGAAGTAGATAATGTAAGGGAAGGTAAAACCGTAAAATGTGGCTGCTTTCAAATGTTATGAAGCAAACTCTAGAATCTCAAATGTACATGTAAGATGGTGTGTTCCTGAGATCATAAGGCTTTAAGTTTAGGATACAAACTGTTTGTGTTCTTTTGGGTTGGTTTTATATATCATCTGTCAAGAAACAAGAAGACAAAAAAACGTTTCAGTAGAGACATGACACAAGAGGTTTTCTTGTTGACACAGAGGAAGGAATATATAGCAAATTCAACACTAACCTTGATGAGGATCTTCGTGTACAAAGAAGCTGGCAGCGACTATCAAGTAACAAAGAATGAGCATCAATCCTTTGAAGTAATTCGATGTCCCTTCCTGCATCACAACAAACACAGACATTTAACAACTTTGAAGAGAGATATACTCAAGATTAGTTTTGTAATTAGCTTCAAGATATACCTGGAGAAAGAAAGCTACAACAATTACAGTTATGAACAGAGCAGCCGTCTCAAATAGCTGGAAATTTAGGTCCATTTGGGCACCCATCATCCATCCAATCACCACGCAAAAAGGAACCTAAATTCAATCAAACTATCAGACCAAATATTTCAGACAATGTTCAGTACAAGACCCAAGTTCACATTTCATATACATACCGCAAACATAGAAATCTGAATGGAGGATCCAATAGCCACTCCCAAAGACAGATCCTGTAGAGCAGAATAATAAATTTATAACAATCTAAAGAAGAGAATCAAAGACATCAAAATGCAAGAGACTTGTCTGCGTACCAGCTTGTCTTTCATGGCAAACATAATGGCACCTGCATGCTCAGCCGCATTCCCAACTATAGGAAGCAAGATTACACTGATAAAAGAGATTGGTATCTTCCATGAGACCGAAGCACCCTGTTAATAGATTGAAAAAGAATAAAATAAAATCGTAAGCCAAACTCATAAACTAGCATTTGCAATGTTGTCCTGATCATAAACAGGCCAAGTTAACTCTGTAAGATCTTCATACGAAATAATAAAATACAAAAAAACAGATTGCTATTCACCTCTATGGCATCGACAAGATAGCCGGAAAGAAGAGAGACCCAAGCCGTCAAGATTGAAAGCCAGATGATAGCTTCCCACTTGGAGATCTCAGGATCTTCATCATCGTCTGAAGCTTCTTCATTCTGATTTGTTTCCTACAATCAACAGTGTTTACCAAACAGCAGAGATAAGTCCAAGTAGAGAAAGAGAGCAACCACTCGGTTTAATAAAAAAGAAATTGGACAGAGCCTGTAAAACTGGAAAGAATCATCTGTGGTCATGATCTTACAAGTGAAAACTCAAAAAAGAAAAAACCAAATAATGAAACTGGTTGTTTCCAGGCTTATGTAAGAAAGAACAAAAATAAGTTAAAATCAACCAAAGGTCAAAGACAACAAACCTCGGTAAGAGGGGTATAAGAACTCGGCTGGCTCTTTAACTGGAAAAAGAGGTAAGCAGCATAGGCAACGAGCATTATGCAACTGCTGAACCTTGAGAGAGCAAGCTCTGATGAGCCAGCATGAACCTCACTGTGCGTGTAATGAAGAACTGCGGGGAAGAGTAGCCCCATGACAGCCATCAAAAGCAACCCCGAATTCACAACGGCATTTCCCTGTATTGCAGAAGAAATGAGCTCAGAAACATGGTACAGGTTACAGAACAACTAGAACAAGAGACATTATATATTTAAAAAAAGAACAAGTGATGATATGCCTACTTTGTCAAAGACTTGCTCTTTCTGGGAAAATACAAGCCCACCACAAAAAAAGGCGCAGCCAAGTACAAGCAACATGTTAGAAAGAATCGAGCCGAGCAGTGTCAGCTGTACAACACGTATCATTCCATTTTTAAGAGCGAAAATAGATATGATCAGCTCTGTCACGTTTCCAAATGTAGCATTTAGGAGGCCACCAACTGTTAAATTTGTATACCAGAGTTAAAAACATATGAGGAGAAAAGGAAGTAAACGCGACGAAGAATGGCTATCAGAAGAAACCAAGTCATACCAGTTGAACCCGTGTAACAAGCCAATTGCCTGTCACAAAATAAACACGGTTACTTATTATACATAAGCCGTGCTGATAGAATGATAATATGGTAACTCAAGAATTACAAGTGCGAGGAAAAGCTTACTCTGTGGCATATCCGAGACGTTCAGCTAATGGTGTGATGCCTACTAAGCTCAATAAGAAGATCCATCCCTGAGCCACAACAAGAATCATGTCTTGAGACATGAGAAGAAGAAATGAAACTGCTATAATTTTTAGTACCCACCCAAAACTACAACTACTCACCTTATTATCAGTCAAGTAGTGGAGTAGTATTGCTAGAGGACCAAAAGGCAACAAAAGATTGAGTTTATTCGATAAAATCACGATCTTGAAGCTCTGTAGCACACTGTTCATAGGTGTTTTAGTTGCACGTTCTCGAAAACTTGCAGAAAGTGATCCTTGTTCCATCAAGGAAGATGCTTTTCTTTGTGGGGAATCTGTCTCTCGTCTAAAAAGGCTTTTGTGCTCAACATCATTAACCAACCCCATCTGTTTAAAGTTGTAACCTTTCCATTAAGCTGACAAGGAGGATCCATATAATCAAGACAAGAAGTGATCTATAGAGAACAAACTTACTTCTACCTGCGCCTGAATAAGAGCTGGCACCTTACAACAACCCATAGACTTGTGCTAGCAAAACATGAAAAACGAGGATACACAACAATGTGGATGTGGTGTTCTTCTGAAACCTGGAGATAAAGAAACTTGTAAAATGTGAATCACTCTATAAAACCAAACCTTGGAAATGCTTAGGAGATCAATCATCAACATCAAAGAGAACAAGCTTGTATGATTCAACTGAACATGTGTTAATCTAAACTAAACACAAACCCAATTCCATCCAATTTCAAACCCTAAACCCACACCAAGAGTCAAATAGAAGCCATAAAGAGGATCGGATTCGGAGGGATTAAGGAAACGGTAAAGAGATCCAAAAATTTTAGTACCTAAGAAGAAGAAGTCAACCAAGGGTCAGAGAAGAAAGACTTGAACAAGAAGAAGCTGCAGAAATCACTTTCAAAAACAAAAACTTTGATCTCTTCTTCTTCTTCTTCTTCTGAGATCTGTGCTTTTTTTATTCGAGAGATAAAGAATCTGGGAGATGTCAGTGAAGAAGAGCGTGATCGAGAGGAACTTTCCTTTCTTCTACTACTAATTTTGAAGACAAGTTTCGATTTTATTTTGTTTTTCAAATATTAATTACGAAACTCTATATAAACTGAATTTATTAGACTTAAAAGAAAAAGAAAAAATACTATTGGATATTTTATCTAGTTTCCGATATTTTTTTTATAATATTATAGTTTACTTTCTAATGTTATGAATATTTATTTATATATATGAATTGTTAATTACTGTAAATATTTAAATATAGGAAAAAAAAAAGCAATTGCGGTCGATAAATTTTAATCAGGTTTTAGTTAAAAATTGAAATTAAGTGGACCCCCTAAACATGACTTCTTACCATCGTCCAGAATAAATTAATTATCGACCGCAACAAGTAATCCCAATACTTTTATTATTGATTCGATTCCTTTCGTTTTTCTTTTGTCATCCGAAATTAATTAAAACTCAAAAAAGTCACATTCCTGTGGAATGTTGTTTACAAATGTGATATGAAACGATCCTGTACGAATTTTTCGTACCAGATGATCCGCTTTTACATTAGCATTGCGAGAAATTAAAGATAAAGAGAATGATGAGAATTCTTCCTTGTCGCTCTGAAATTCCTCCAAGTACACTGAAAACGCCGGCCATTCGGTTGGAGAAGACACCATCTTAACCAGATCAGAACAGTCTGTAAGGAACTCTACCTCTTGATTATATACACCTATCATACACTTCATCGCCCAGAGAAAGGCCTCGAACTCGGTATGTAATGGAGATAAACTTCGACGGAGATTTGCAGATTCCATGGTTGGCGGCTCTCCGTTTGATGATGTACAGAACCATCCTGTACCGGATAACTTATTACTTTCTTTTATGAGCATAAATAAATATTTTATATTTTATTAATTTTTTCCTTTCAAATAATATCACGAAACGTATCAACTACTAGACCGAACAAAATCAAAATAACTAGACCAAAACCAAAATTCAATTATAAAAACATTTGGTTAACTTGGGTGTGTGTCGGTGTGTACTGTGTAGGAGTCATCTTCAGGGTAATTAAGAATGCCTAAGTTTCCCAAGCATCCGTGGTCTAGTGGTAGAGAAAGCTTTGGAAAAAGGTGAAACTCTCAAACCTGAGTTCGATTCTCCCTGGAAACAAAAACACATTTGTTTGGGAAGTCTGTCAGTTGGGCCTTGGCCCAATTGGTTTACCTGGTAGCCAGAAATGCAGGCGGCCTGACTACCCCCGGCACTTAGTCGAAAGGCCTGACTACCCCGGCACTTAGTCGAAAGGCATTCCAAACTCGGGATAGGTAGAGTGGTAGCCCGTAAGGGCCTAACCGTTAACACGGTGGACCAGTCCACTATGTAGCACATCGGTGCGTTCCTACCGGAGACGACCTGATAGCCGATAGGGTTTATAAAAAAAATAAAAAAATAAAAAAGAATGCCCAAGTTTTATTAGTGGAAAAGTGCTGCTAAGATGCACGGATCTATAGATATCATTACATAGTCGTCTGGTTGTTCTGTTGTGCACACAACTAAATTTGCATCATAACATTTTACAGATTAAATTATTGCAGGGAAAGTAAATTTTGCACCATAAGAGTTTGATCCTGCTGATTCACAACGGCGTCAAAGTTACGAAGATATATAACAACTACATCCAAGTCAGAGATCGAATTGATTATGCAGACTGATATAAGTATATATTATTGAAGGTATCATCTCTAGTTATATGTAAACTTCAAAACTAGGTGCTGAGTTTTGCCTCTTTCAAAAGTTATTTCCCAATGTGTTTGTTGAAATAGAACGGAAGCTACTCTATTGAAACGTCTTTTTAAAGGCCATTCCAAGATATCAATAAAAACATAAAAATATCAGTTCACATAAACGAATGGGTCTTATACCCAATCAAGCATCCAACAGAAGGAGCAACACACAAAATATATATCCGATAGAAAAGCTAAAATGATGGTGTCCTAGCATTAACTAAAAAAAGGGTAACCAAAATATCCGACAAACAAAAATCTTAAAAGCCAAAGCACCCACCCATAATGTTAACCAAAAACTGACGCCGCAAAATGCAAACTAAAAAAGGTAAAAAAAAAAAACGTTGCAGCAGCACTTCCATCTACTAACCCGAAGAAGATGCGTTGTCTTGTTTGAACATCACATTCGCGGCCTGCGCAGTAAATCCAATCCTCATCATACAGAGCTCCGCTTGCACAGCCTGCAGTTTCTTCAACTTTTTTTCCATCTCTCGCTTCTTTGGTCCATCTTTGACCTTATATTCCCAGCTTGCAATGCACTCTGCTTCATCAATCCCCAAACAAGTCGGATTCTCAGCCTTAACGAAACAGACGTACTCTTGACCAAAGGTTCTCTTTGGCTCTTCATCTTTTACCCTTCCTTCAAGCTCTCTTTGGCGCATCTTCTTTGATTTTGAACGCAAAACACCGTCAATACCCTAATATCTATCTGTGCCAATGTCGATTTGGTTTTGAGGTTTCAAAAGGTTTGTTCGTAAAATGAGAGTGACGCTTAAGTGCCAGCTACGAAGGAAGCTTAAGCGATACTTATTAATCTCAGCTGTTCAAAAATATTTCATTTCCAAGTTATTTGCTGACATCAACTCTGTTTTCCAAGATTGGATTTTATTTTTCTAAGAAAACAACTATTACGGCTCATTGAACAAGTGACGAGGAAACTAAATAAAGTTTGAAAAAACAATTAAATCTAAATTCATATTTCATTTTCTTTTACACTTTTTTTTGGTAAGACATTTTCTGTTATCTATATCTATATTCTATATATAACAATATTTGAGAAGTGTTTTTGCTGACGTGTCGGACTCTCGGCTCTTGTTGAGTCCTTGATTTTACGTAATTACTTAATTACCCTTAATGAAATCTAATTAATTTTGGAAAAATTAAATTGAATTTCGGTATTAACCAGGAAAAAATAATTTTGGAAACAATAAACATGATAATTAACCAAAAAAAAAAAAAAGGAACAACGAAGTACCAGTTAGGAAGCTTTAATTGAATTCATCGTGTTCTTCGTCGTGTGAATATAATTCTTCTAAACGAAGGCAAAACTTGAAATCCTAACATAAAGCATATATTCATAGCAATAACAGAGATCTAATAATTTAGTGATAGAATTTCACCTGTTGATCTGTCGAAGCAGAATAGTCAAGCTTCTCATAGTATCTTGCCCATGTTATGTCTTTAAGACGTCAATACTATCCTGCACCCTATAATTCTAACCAATGAAAAGAACAAATATTTATTACCTTGGATACAGAGTTGACGAAGAAACCTTGGATAAAAACTCGACGAAGAAACTTGTAAGTGTTAATGTATGATGAAGCTTCCATGAACGTGAATTCGTGATCATAATGAAGAAACGTGTGAATGGAGACGGTTGATGGGTTTTTTTTTTTTTTTTTTTTTTTTTTTTTTTCTTTTTTACCTTTTGTGTAAACAGATCTGTTTCATAATTTATCGGAAAAGGAATTATACCAAAAAAAAAAAAATCGGAAAAGGAAAATATTTATTATAATATTGATATATTTAAGATGATAATGTCAAATATCCGAAAATTATTAATCGGAGCATTAATATAAACATAAAAGAATACTATTCTAACTTTACTCAAATTAATAAGATTTAGATATCCGAAATTAATCGTAAACGGCTATTAATTGTTAAACTAATTAAAATAAAGATCAAACGTACCGGAATAAATGAAATTTTTGGTATGATCATCGTGTTCGTCGTCGTTTCAATCTAAATATTTGGAAAAAAAAACGAACAAAAAAATAATATGTAGATCAATGAAAGAGAACCCACCAATTTAGAAACGGTTATCACGCCATCGTATTGTTCGTCGGATGATTATAAGTCTCTAATCCGGAGATTGACTTGAACCCTGACAAAAACATATATTCATAGCATAAAATCGTAAATAGAAGGTAGAAGACCACCTATTAATCGGTTGTAACCTTGTGCAAACTCGATTTAATTTTGACGAATGAAATGTTGGTGTGGTGTCAAAACTTTCTTGGGGAGACTCGAAGATGAGAGAGCTGAAGTCAGAGATAGGCAGAGAGGTTTACATGTGAATTAAGGTATGGAGTGCTAACGTGAACATGAACGTGATCGGCGGTGATTTTTGCACATAATAGCAATTAGATCGAGTTTTGGAAAAAAATATGGATCAGCGTGACATGACGCATATGGATACCATGCATGTCTATCTATTGTAAATCAAAAATTATATTATTGTTCCGCCTTATTTTTGAAACAGAAAGGAATTTTCCCTTAAATTTTAATATATTTTATAAGATAGTATCAGATATAGTAGTAAATCTAAAATAGTTGTTATTATTCCATATTTTTACGGAAAAAAGTAAATATTATTTTAAATAAACATGGATAACAATGAATAAATGGCAGTTTTACAAATATTTATTATTATGATAGTGATTTGCTTATTAAAATATGTAAATTTTCTTTTCTTTTTTTGTATTTATCGTCGAAAAATTTAGAAACCCTAAATCATGCACCGCCTCCTATTCAATATAAATACCTTGCTCATGGTATTCAATTTCAGATCATAACTAACCCTTGTTTTTTTTGTTCTTTTTTTTCAAACTTTTTTTTGCTTCTACCTAATTTTAATTTTTCTTTTTATTGTAGGGTGGATGTATGGAGGGGACGATGTGAACTGGTGTATGGAAAATTTGGACCTAATTCAATGAATAAACAGGTGATCTTATAGTTTATATGTACAAATTTGATTTTTTTTTTTTTTTTGTATTTATGGTTTCACTATTTTCACCACTAATCAATTTTTATAATCAAAAAGTTTGGTTTCAACTTTTGAGAAGGTAATCATCGATGGTTTGGTATGTTTCTTTTTGTTGTAAAAAGATGAGGTACCTCCCGATTTTGTTGAGGTACATGTTCTTATTATTTTCAAATATGTCTTTTTTCAGAAGAAACACTCAACTTTTGATAACACAGTTGCCACAAAGTCAGAAAGATGACTTATTTCAGG